TTACTTTATCTCTCTGGGCTTCCCTTTCCTGAGTAAAGTGGAGATCATAGTAGGTGCCTCATAGGGTTCTTATGAATATTAAATCAGATAGAACATGGAATGTTTTATCGGGATTCTTGGCATGTGGCAATTGGTCAATAATTATCATCTATTATTATGACATATCATTAGTTTTGTCACCTCACAACATTTAGCACCGTCTCAAATACATTCCTATTTGAAATTTTAAATCTCAGTACATCTGTTAAACAAAGGAAGAAACTTTTTCATTCAGCTGACTATTCTGGTAGTCTCTTCACTATTACAGACTTTCAAGTTTGATTTTTGGAATACTGTCAACCTCACGTTTGGGGAATCTTGTGTGTGTTTGAAAATCTTTTGTGTCCCCATTGCATGCATGTCCAGTGGTTATAATAGGTGCTTGATAAATATTTATTGATCTATTGCTTCCCTGTTAGCACCTTTTCTTTTCCAATGGTATCTGTTTTTTAGGGGAGTCTCCTCAAATTGTTACAGTCTTAATGCCCCCATGCTGCACTTAGAAGTTGCAGTGTTTTTTCAAACTGCATCATGGTTTTGAAATTTCCATCTCTTTGGTGCATTCTTATACTCTTCTAACTGAATTTACTCAAATGTGTGTGGGTGTGCGTGGGTGTGTGTAGTGGTACTCAGGCAGTGATGGTGAAGCAAATTCTGACATGGAATTAAAAATGAGAGCTACCTTGGTCTCTCTATAGAGACACCTTATATATATATATGGTTTTATTTTGAGACATGATGTTTTTGTCTGTGCTTGCATAGACAATATCTGTATGTTTTCCAAATTTATTTCTCTGCATTGTGTACAATTTCCAGTTCGATAAAAAGATAACTGATTTAGGGAGGAAATAGATTCTTGGTAGACACAGACTTCTTAGAAGGCTTCTGTCCCAGAGAGAAGTCACAAGTATATTAATAGTCTACAGGTCCTATAACAAGAAAATTGATTTCCCCTTTGTTTCTAAGGAAAATCATTTTGAGGGTACTCCCCACGTGAGGAATGGCACTATAAAAACACTTTGGGGCTTCCGGAGGGAGAATATGAGTTGAAAAATTATTTATTCCATGGAGTCTAATTTACCTCTGTTAAAGATATATTCAGTCTGGGAAGGCCACACCTTACTATTCCCTTAACAATCCACAGGAATGTTTCCACATACATTCTAGTGCTCGCCATGTACTAAGAAAACAGCACTAAATTTCTGTGTATAGCCGCTGATTCACCTTACTCTTAGTCCTATATTTTCTGAATTTCCCAAGTATAACCTACAAACTTATTTCCTGATCATATCATTTACTCTTCTACTATCTAGCAGAGCTCGCATTTCAATGCCTGGGACTTGGAGAAACATTTGAGTGGGATGATGAGTCTACCAAGATATTTGCTTAAGAATCTTAAAAGAAGCCTACACATGGATGTCTTGGAACCAGATTTTAAGTGAACAAAATAAAAACCTCTTTCTCTCCGGTAGTTATTTCGGGCTTTTCTATTTTTAAAGTAACCTTCACATACGGTACCTCCATACATCTAAATATATTCCATACAGATATATGCATGATTTGAGCCTATTTTTCATGATACAGCACAGTGAGAAATTTGAGCTTAATTATACTGGCTTTTCAGATTGTTTTTAGTATGAAAGGTCTACTGTATTTTAACAGAATTACTATGTGTATCATGTTCACGTACGCATCTAAACTATATACACTATTGTATTCCTAGCACATTCTGTTAATTACGGAAATCACTTCCATTTCAATAGTAGAATTTACATGACAACAGCTTCTGAGGCTCAGTGGAGCATCAGACCAGTATGTCACAGAATTCCCTTGTAGTGTGGGTGTTGACAGGATTCTGTTGACATTGAATTTGCAATGAAAATGTCTCATAAATGTGCATGCACATAGCGCTTTACTTAGAAAGGATCATCTCAATATTCACACAGGTCATTAGTGTCAGAGATGAAAAATTTCCTCACACTTCCATTAGCAAAATAAATTATTAGGAACATATAATCATACACATACATATAAATGACCTGAAACATGTGTCTTAAATATTTAGAAAAGATGTCCAGGTATAGAACTGTCTCCTTCATATTTTCTCCTGTAACTGTTTAAGCTTTTGTGTTCTACAAGTGCTGTATGAATGTTAGATGAAGGGTCAAAATCAAGCAGGAGAATGGACAGATCCAGTGGGGTTATAACAGGGAGTAAATAACAAGATAAAATAGAATTACGGGAAAATTAAGCTGAATATCACAATAAAGTTCTTAATAGGGAGAACTATTAGACTGTGAAATAGTCTTTCAAAAACTCTAGAAGAAGTCATTACTTGATCCATTTAAAATCAGACTGGACTGAAGTACTCCAAAATACAGTATGCTATGGGGACCAAGCCTACATTAGAAATGGAAGAATGACCTACTAGTTTCTACTATCTCTGTGATTACTGTGATTGTACTCATTTTTAGGTGTTCATTCTTGGTAGATAATCTTCTACAATTTATGCTACTTCTTGGGAACAATTTCAACAAATTCATCTAATACAGAATTGGTTGCATTTAGCAGAATCTCAGAAGAGACAAAAATGCACAATAAACTCATTGTAAAATAGTAAACTGAGACAAGTATGAGTGAACACTGCTCCTTTTGGGGGGAGTAACCCTTGGAGGAAACAATTCTGGAACTCTGGCCATATTTCAACGTGAATAAATGCATACTATCTTCCTGGTTTTCAATGAGAATTAGGTGTCAATTTTCATTTCTTTTATTTAATGATGTCTTGGGATGATATTGAGTGTAGAACAACAACCTGAAGCATTTTTATCCCAAGCCAGTGGGCTATATTTTGTCAGGAGATAGCTAGGACAATGGGGTAAAAAATGAATGCATCATTTTGTGAATGATCTCGATTAGAGGACTGGACAAGAAAGACATAATATTTTGATTTGAAAAGAAGAGGTTGACAGGAAATAAGAAAGAGGGAAAGATATTGAGGTAAACTGTAAAAATGTTATTGCTGGGAGTCTTTCAAAATAAGACCATCCTCGATCTTGTGCAATTCTGGTTGATCACCAAGCATGAAGTAGAGAAATGAGACAGGTGACCATATGACAGTTACCTTAATTTTTCCCTCAAAAATGTTGATTTTAATTTAATTAAAAATCAACATCACTCAATTCTATGCTATCTGCATTTGTTTAACTTACCAATTTAAATTGCACTGACATAAAATTGGAGAAGAGCTTATCATTTTGATATGTTTAGTAATTGTGAGCTTAATCATCTGATTTACACTTAATTCTTTTCCTGTATACACCGCAACTTCATAGATTGGTCTCAAACACAAAGGACTGGATCATAGAAGATATTTTCATTATGCATAAATTTTTTGTTTATATAGTTTGTGATACATTTTCTCAACTTATGGATCTAGTATCCCTAAAGTGTGAAAAATACCATCCAATTTAAATAGAGAGATGCCTGCTTCTCCTACATCTCAAAATTTAACCTATTTAACCAATTCCTTGTATTGGCATACTTTCTTATGAGTTAGGGTTCACATTTCATTGTTGATAATCCAGCTCACACAAGAGGTTTAAAACTAGGATTCTTGCCGGAGTCAATGGGGACTTAACAGACTAAGAGATATTCTTAACATTGATCCCTCTTTTTAGCCCAATGAATGAAGATATTCTGGAAAACATAAGTTTCAAGAGTTCTTTTCCTCACTTGTCATCATGAGCACCTGTGTTACTCTGAACATAAATCAAAACAGCCTTAGGGCATGTCTATCCAGAATATCCATGTACTCCTGCGGGGTGATCAGAACCTGAAAAGACTGACACCTAAAATCCACAGGTGTGAAAAATCCTTGTAAATCCAACACGCTGCCATTGTGAAACAGAAAATATCATTTTATTAAGGTCTAGTGTGCAATAGCTTCCAAAATCTATTCAAATTCTATTAGCTGTTTTGAGAAAAAAGAAGCACAGCACTCCAGAATCATTAACTAATAGAGTATCCTGAACATCTTTGGGTGGGAATTGTATAATCCACGGAAGTTTAGTGTGGTAAGAATCAAGGTATTTTTACTTATGCCTGTATTCAATATATTTACATAAACAGTTAGAATTCATATGGCAGTCTTAGAATGTGTGATTAGATAAACCAAAGCACTCTTAGATTTATGTAAATGAATGTCTCCGGATCAGTGCTGAATTTTTCCCAAAGAAAGAGAATAGAACTCTACTGAACAGTTCTAAGAGTAGGTAGCACAAATAAAATTAAGCAGTGAAACTCAAAGTAATGAACTATTGCTGAGATCCTTAACTCCTTACCCACAACTCTCATTGACCTCAACTCTGCATATACCTGATAAGTAACTATCTTTATATTTACCTCAAACATATCACTATTCAAATAACGGTAGAAATATTTTGTCAGCAAATTAGCCAAGCACTTGACCACAGATCATTAAAAGTGTACAGTTTATTACATTTTAATCAACATTTACAATGCTTTAAAATACTTAAAAGGCAGGGGCATGTCCCCTTAACATGCCTACTTAAAAGTGTTACATCTCAGGGAATCCTCCCCGTTTGTTAACCCAGGGAAGGAACCAGAAGGAAATCTAAATGAAATCCTTAAGAAACAAGCTTATTGGATATATTACCTAGTCTATTTCTGGATCGCGAATCTCCCGCCCTCTCTGAGTTACCTCACTGTCAGATAAGAAAATGGAACAAGATCGATGAAGAGATATGCTCCCAGCCTGGCTTTTCGATTTTTCGCTCAAGCCAAAAAGAGCAAAGGGCATCGAGTTAGGGCTCCTTTCCAAGCGTGCTTGTAGGAGAGCGAACCTCTGGCCGCTTCTGGCTGCAGAGCGAATTTCGGCTGCAACGCGGACCGGGTCCCGCTGACCGCTGCCCACCTCGCCCGGCAGCCTCCACACCCACATGAAACCGCCAGTGTGGGAGCCAGTCAACGAAGGCTTCCTGTGCACAAAGCCCCAGGAGCCCCCGAACAGAGCCGAATCCTGAGCCCAGAGCGAAGCTGGAGGTGGTTGGCTGAGGAGCCTGGTCTCTGTCTGGGGGTCTACGAGCGCTAGCTAGTCCCTGCACCTCCCGCACCCCGGTCGCAGATCCGCGCCCTGAAATCTGCCTCCCTCCCGGAGACACAAACGTGCGCGCACACACACACACAAACTCTCGCTCACGCACACCCACATCGCCTCTGCCGCCCTCCCGCCCCACCCCCGGCGGAACTGTAGGGACTGGTCTGTGCTCTGCCTCAACTTTCCCGGCCAAGCCTGCCCCACGCGGCACCCGAGCCTCCGCGCCCTCGCTGGGCGCCCTCCAGAGGGACGCGTCCCCCTCTGGGCCCCTTACCTCTCACCGACAACTCCGGGCAGGGACTGGGCTGACCGCGGCGGCGGCGGCGGCGGCGGCGGCGGCGGCGGAGCTTGCACCCGGGCTCTGGCTCATGGTTGGTCCTCCTCATCCGACACAAAAGAGGTAGCTTGCTGGCTTTGTCCTTTCCACATCCAAGGAAGAACTTATTTTGCCCTCGAAATGGCCAACTTGTGCGCGCCGCTTCCTGTCACAGTGCCCCCCGCCCGCGCCCCCTCCCGGCTGCGCGCTGGACCACTGCCCGGTGGCCGAGCATCAGGCCTCCGAGTCAGTGGGGAGTGGGAAAAGGGAGGGGGGGAGGGGGAGAAGAGAGGGGGGGCTGGGAAAAAGGGGAGACCTAGGGGTCTTCCACGGAGGGGAGGGGAGCCCTTCGCAGCCGAGTCCCTCTGCGCTTCACAGGCAAACCCACTTCCCAGGCGCGGAAAGCAACTTTCCTTCACCTTGACCGGGCTCAAACCGTCGCATCTAATTGGGACTCTCGGCAGAGGCACGGACCTTCTGGCATTCTCTCCCCCAGCTCTTTCCTCCCTTTCTCGTTCTCCTTTTCCCTCTCCCCCTCCCCCTCCTCCCCTCCCTTAACAGGGGTGTATCTGCAGAGTCTTCCGTGAGCCAGGGTACCTAGACGGGAGGGTTACGGTACGGAAGCCAGGGCGGGTTTGGAGCCGCGTCCCCTCACTCTGTTGGGAATCCTTAGGCAGGGGCAGGCAAAGGTGGTGAATTTGGAGGGGGTGGGATGAAGGGGCGTGGGGCGGCAGGGAGATCTGCGGCTCCAACTTTGAAGCTCCGCTCGAGCTCTTGCCTGCGGGAGAGCAGGAACTAACGGCCCTGGAAGAACTCTCCGGCGATCCCCGTGCAGCGGGGCGACCGCACGCTGGAGGCGGAAGGGAGAGCGAGAGCTTGAGAGCGAGCGAGGGAGCCTGAGAGCCCGGCGTGCCGCTCTGCCCCGCACACCGCTCAACTGCACGTTGCGAGCCCCCGGAGAGGGCTTGTGCGGAGCCATCTCTGGGTCAGGCGGGAGGGAGACGCTCCTGTTTCCTAGCAACGCCCATCAATCTTGTCGGGACAGCTCCCTCTGAAGGAATTCGATTGGACAGCCCCTGGAGGGAAGCCACGCCCCTTCAAGAATGCTGGGCAGCTGCTTTTTCGCATTCTCCTAAATTTCTTGGGTGGAATAAGATTCGAGGGGAGGGCCGAATTATCTTCCTTATCCTCCCGTGCTGCCGCACAGCCCCTTTGCAGCGACCCTCCCCCCCCCCCACGTCCACTCCCACATCAGTCTTTCTCTAGCCCTACTTGGGGTTGGCACGCACAGGCACTGCTGTCTACAGAACCTGTTCTTTCTTCTTGAAATTAAATAAATAAATAAAAACCTTAAATCGGTGACGTAGGCACAAAAGAGAAAAAGGCACACGGAAATAGCTATAATAGGCTCCGAGCTACAGATACAATCCTAAAGGTAAAATTCCAGGCATCTTGCTATGTTTAGAAGCACATTGTGCTTAATTTCAGAATGGAAACTTCACTGTCATTAATTTCTCCGCCTGATAACACTAACTTTGTGTTAACGAGGACTGAGTTATATGTAGCCGGAGACAATTAAACTTAATGCTTCAGAGCTACATTTATTCTTTAATATTTAATGATAAGTTGTTTAACAACTGCCTTCTTTTGTAACCTCGTCAGGACATTTAAACTACAGCTATAATTTTACTACCGATTCTTTTAGAGAGCCAACAACATTTAGAAGACACGTGTGCTTATATCTTCCATTGTGAACACCACTAAAACTAGAAACTTGAACATATTAAAAATTAAGATGTTACTAAATTAAATAGTGAAACTCTAAAAATGCTAACAGTTCCTTTTCCAAAACCATTCTCTCTGGAATGCAACAGCAATGCCAAAATAACAGCAAAGTCACCCTTTCTTTGTATTTCATTGCTATTGCCTGACATGTACCACAAACCCATAGACTTTGGTACGAGAGGATTTTCACAATGTCTGTCCAATAGGCAAGTGTACATTAAGGAACAGTGACAGGACAATGGAAAGGATAAAGATCTATATACACTGCAATATATATATTGCTTCAGATATGCATGAAGCCATGTTGGCAGCTTTTGGTTCCTTCCAGAATATTCCACAAGATACCTTTTTTTTCCCCCTTTCAAAGATTATCAAAATCAGCTGAGATTGGGAGCAGTAGAAGGGATCTGATGTTTTCATTCATTAAAAATAAAAGTAGCTGTGTTTGCACAAAAGAAAGCACTGATGTATAAGCTGAACTACCGGGCTGTAGCTGCATCTAGGCTACTTAACATACTAGTGTTGGTGATGTGCAGAGACTGCAATGCTGAAGCGAATTATTAATCTGTTATCGGATCTGGACTTATGGGACACATTTCTCTCTTCCCCCTGCCAAACACACATGGAAATGATGACCATGAGGACTTTTCAGCCTGGTGAAGGCATATTGTCTGAATTTGAGTCCTTAATTGCCACCCCTTTCTATCTGTGTGACTTGGGCAAGGTTCTCAGCCTCACTTTAGCTCGGTTTAATCATCTATAAAATGGGAATAATAATTATTCATCTCAAAGCTATTTTGAGGATTAAAAAGTACCATGTAGGTAGTATGGAAGTATTAGCTCTGACTATTAGTTTCCAGTTTCTCATTATCCAATGGCATTTTAATTGTTGAGCCATATATGATATTTAATTCATAGCAACTAGTATTGTGCCTTAATTCTTCCTTTTTAATTTAAATTAAATTTGTCATTGGCTGAGAACATAGCTTTAACTTCTAATGTTTATTTGTTGAAGTGTGTGTGTGTGTGTGTGTGTGTGTGTGTGTGTGAGTGTCTGCATGGGTACATGTGCATGTTTTTTCAAGTTCCGTTCAAAAGCCTCAAGGGATAGGACTAAATAACAACCTCTGGTAAAAAGCCTGTGAATTAGGAAATGGCCTTTCCCTTTCTCCCCACCCTCCCTCAAGTTTTCTGGCTGGGCTCCAGTTTCTAAACAATTCTAGTACCTTTGGTATGCCTCTTCAAGACTAGTACACATTTAGACATTTAGATCACTCTCCTTCATATTTTATATGTTTGATTAATTTTTACTAATCCATCTATATTTATTTGAATAATTAATCACGATATTTCATCTTAGAACCCTTTAGAGTTAATGCCCTGCCCTGTGTTATAATGCTTTTTTAATATGGCCTGTACAGTATACCATCTTTCCTTCAGAAATAACATTGAGAGTTGATACCCTGTCATCATTAATTACAATTAAAATGTCTTCCATGTTTTCATTCTGATCCAGAGTTCAGTCTCATTAGCATTCCCTTTGGAGTGCATCTCCATTGGCTCAGTCTAGAAATCAATTTCATTGCCCGTTTCTCACTACCAGTCAGTCAGCCAAGTGCAGTTATTTTGATCATATAGAGAGTCATTAGGTGTCCAGTTTGGGACAGTTCTGTTTTACATCCATTGTTTGGGTGTATTCACAGAGCTTACTTTATTTTTCAAAAGTGTCAGGTTTGGGCATTAAATCAGATGGCTGCCTATGCCCTCTAATCAGCTGGCTGAAACCTCTTGCTTCATCTGCCGCATGACTATTAATTTCCTCTGTATAACTTTTTCCAGGAGAGGATCAATCACTTCCAGGAGCCTAGTACATAATAGACATGTAAAAATAGTAAACTTTATATTTAATGTGCTTAAACATAAGCCTCATTTATTTTTCACTTCTTTTAAAATATGTTTCCCCTTGGATCATCAAGAAATTCTGATTCTAATTACTGTTACACAGTATACAAATGAAAATATTTTATGGGATGCCTGGGTGGCTCAGTTGTCAGTTAAACTTCCAACTCTTGACTTCAGCTCAGGTCATGATCTCATGGGTCCTGATATAAAGCCCTACCTCTAGCTTTGTGCTGACAGCATAGAACCTGCTTGGAATTCTGTCTCTCCCTCTCTCTCTGCCCCTCCCCCACTCTCTCGCTTTCTCCCTTTCAAAATGAATAAATACACATTAAAAAAAGAAAATATTCTAGTCTTAATTTTGATTGAAGGTACAGGCAAGAGGGACCAACTTCTCCCTATTCCCAAACAAGTCTTGCCAGACCACCTGTTAGATGTGAGTGGGGTGTCTTTAAACCACAAGTTTGATGAAACAGTTGAAGTCCAAGCAGCTGAGAGAGGTAGGGAATTGGAGTTAGAGAGTCTGTGGCGTGCTCTAAATGTGCAGACAGAGGGGAGGGGGTGTATGCTTTCCCTCACTTCAACTCTCCTGCCAGGTGCTGCTGCAGGGAAGCCATTGCTGTCTTCCTTGGAATGAGGGTGATGTAGGAGCCTGCTTTGTATTTCACAGCAGAAAAAATAAATTGCAAGAGGCTGTGTGTGATCTGTCTCCAAGAGGGCCCAAAGAAAAGAAGGCTGAACTTGGTGGGGAATTGCATTCCCACCTATGACAAGTATAACGAGCTGGTTCTCTATGCACTTGTATGTGGGGAGAGTGAACACAGAGTAGGAGATGTGTTTTCTTAGGTCCTAAGCAGAAGGGCTTGGAGGACAAATTTTGAATCCTCAGTAGATGGCCTGTGAGGGGCACGGGGTGACAGAAAGGCAACTACCCAGAAGGCATGCTGCACACAGACACCTGGTACTCACCAGTGCTGGGTGCAAGGCTGCATTGACCCAGTGGGGGCGGGAAGCTGCCTTTTTGTAATCAGTCAGTTTGGGTGGGGGAAGAAATTGGAAAGGTTGGAAGGTGAAATGCAGACACCCAGTAGGTTATGTGTCCAGTCATGAAAGCCTCACCAGAATCAGGTCAGATTCTGCAATGAGAGATTTCCCAGAGCCCAAGGGTCTTCAAAGAACTGATTAAACTGGACTTGGAAAAGTCAACTTTGAATACCTGCTAAGCATAAAAAAGCAATGCCAGATCTGTGCTGGTCAAATGGGACTTCTCTCCTCCCCTCATACTTTCTTTTTATTTTAAAATTTTTAAATGTTTTATTTATTTCTGAGAGAGAGAGAAAGAGGCAGCATGAGCAGGGGAGGGTCAGAGAGAGAGGGAGATACAGAATCCAAAGCAGGCT